TGGCCAGGTGCTGGTGGCTCACACCTGTAATCCTAGCTACTCAGAGGCTGAGATTTGAAGATCTTGGCTCAAAGACAGCCTGGACAGGAAAGTTCATGAAACTCCAATAAACCACCAGAAAACTGGAGTGGCACTGTGGCACAAGTGGTAGAACACTTGCCTTGAGCTGAAGAGCTGAGGGACAGTGCCCAGGCCCAGAGTTCAAGCCCCATGACCGACCCCCCCCCGAAAAAAATCAATTTCAATCAAGTGAAAATATTATCTAAATGTAGGCATCTCCTGAGTTTGATTTTGATAAAATACATTGTTATTTAATTTTCCTAGAATGCTTAAATATTAATTTTCATTCTCAAAGTTAATGCCACAAACCAAATTAAGGAAAAAGTCATGGATTTTTTTTTTTTACTGTAATGCTTAAAACATTGTATTTTCATTCTCAAGATGAATGCAACAAACCAAATTAAGGAAAAATCCATGGAGGAAGAGGTCCACAGAAAACAGATCCATCTGTGAGCTTATCAGTAGGCCTTCCTGTTTGGAAGGTCAGGTTCCTTCCTCTTTGAATCTGCTCACCCGGGGCTGTCCAGCTCCATCGTGGGGCAGGCTTCCGTGCGAGGCCCTGCTGGCCCCAGGGAAGGGCCTGCTCTGAGCAACTGCCTCTATGCACGGGTGGACAGGGTGGGAGCTGTCTTGCATGGCCAGCCATGGGGGCGCAGCCTCTACTGGATGCCTCCATGGCCCACCTCTCTGAGGCAGCTTTTGAGGTAGCAACATGGTTCCCTTCCTCTAGACTGACTTCTGGTTTTCCAGGGGCATCAATAGCTCATGCTTGTAATCCTAGCTACTCAAGGGGCTGAGATCTGAGGATTGAGGTTTGAAGCCAGCCTGGGCAGGAAAGTCTATGAAACTCTTATCTCTACCTAAAATTAACTACCCTAAAAGTTGAAAGTAGAAAAAAAAATTAGTTTCTTGTTGTTGGTTATGGGCCTTGAAGTGCATTACTGGGCCTGGGCGCTGTCCCTGAGGTCTTCAGCTCAAGGAGAGCACTCTACCACTTGAGCTATAGTACCACTTCTGGTTTTCTGGTGGTTAGCTGGAGATAAGAGTCTCATGGATGTTCCTGCCTGGGTTGGCTTTGAACTGTGATCTTTAGATCTCAGCCTACTGAGTAGCTAGGATTACAGGCGTGAGCCACTGGCGCCGGCATTAGTGTTGGCATTAAATGATGAATGATAAAGAAAACCCAAAGATTTATTTCAACCAACATCCAGAGATGGAAGGTTCTAGAGCCCTTGAGCCAGCCCCTGAAGTCCAGGCTAACATTTGCCAGGTAGAGGAATGTGCTGGGATCAGCTTCCAGCCTCTGTCCTTGTGAGAACCTTTGTCCTACCACACCCACCTCCCCAGGACTGGGGTGTCCCGGACCCCCGAAGACAGTCAACTGTAACTCACCAGCGTGTTTGAATATTATTATTATTTTGAACTTGGAGTTAAAACAACCTGACTCATTTTTCTTTTATCAAAGAAGTAGGAAAGTTACAGGAATAGGAACTCTAGAGATCTCTATAAATTATATTACAGAGCTAGGACGCAAAATCTTTGAAATAATTTCTCTACAAACAGAGGAGTTAAAAGTCTAGTTCCGTAACAAACCTACATGCAGTTCTCAGTTTAAAACAGTGTAAGGATGAGGAAGAGGTCTTATTTTGAGGAAGTTTATTGTTACACTTTTTGCAATAGAGGCACCCCCCCCACCCCGCTTCTCCAACATCACAATAAAAAACAACAACAACAGAGTAACAGTGAAATAAAATAAAAATACAAAAGCCTAAGGCTGAGGAGAAAGGGCTACGATCTATGTGGGGCGAGCTGTAAAGGGTGCTGGCCTAGGTGGTGACAGTTCCCTTCTGCACGGATAATACTTCTGAGTTCAGGGTTGGGTGTGTCTCAGGACATTGGAAAGGGGCCACGCAGGCCCAGCTGTTGGGGCTGTGGCCAGAGGCTGAGCTTAGGACGGGCCTCACCGTTCACCTACCGTCTGCTAAGCGGTAGCTGTGCAGCGCCCCTCAGGAGCATCTGGGTCCGAGAGACTGCCAGAGAGCCAGGGCTCCCGCTCCCTGGCAGGGACAGCCCCCACGTCCTTCCAGCAACCTCCAACAGAGCCAGGCAGGCATGCCCTCAAGGTGGAGGAATAACTGGGCTCATGTTCTTCACCCTAACAGACACTGGGCGAGGAACCTACTGTGGGCCAGGCTCTGTCCATCCCCGTGCACCCCCTCCAAGAACCCTGGGCAACTTATGTCCTCTGAACCTGGGCCTAGCCACATCCCTTGCACTTGTAACAGCTAGAGGAAACCAGAAGCAGCCAGAGAGGAGTGAAATCACACAAATCTGCGCGCGCGCGGGCCTCAAGCAGGATGCTCCACTGTTTCCTAGTATGCGGCGTGGTCATCAGGCCTGCTCAGAGCACAGCCTGGGGACCTGGGCCGGTGTTAGGAAGCCACCCACACTGCGCTTTGCGGTGTTTTCTCTGTTGTGGAGTCACTGGGGAAAGAGCTAGGCCCTGCACCAGGCCTCTGTGGAATGCAATGTGGCACCTGTGTGCCCTCCGGGCTGGTGGGCATAGACGCAAGCTGAGCTTAGCCAGGCACAGCCTCACTCTGACCAGGGGCCTGACGGCGCTCCCTCACCCTGGGTGTGCCACGGGGGTGGGGCAGTCAGGCTTAGGAAATTGGGGAGCAGCTATGTAAGGCGTTGGTGGGGGGGGCAGTGTGCAGATACTGGGATTTCTCTGGGCTTTTTGGCCACTTGAAAGGCCAGCTGCCAGGGACTCTCTGGGCAGCTGTGGCATGAGGAGTTTGGGGGTGCCTGTGCCAGCTACTCTAGCCCCTGTTTTTCCCCAATGAGGTCAAGGGGCATCTGTAAGGCCACTTGGGTTTTCAGCTTTGCCACTGGGGGGGAAGGATCAAGGAGGAAAAAGCACCATGGCAGTAGGCATGGGGGCAGACTGACAGCTGCAGCCAGCAGCCATCCTGTCCCTGGTGTGTCACTGGGCATGCTGATGAGGCTGAGCTGTTTCTGGGGACAACAAGGCAGGTGCAGGACCCCTACCCTGTGGCCCACAGCGGGGCGTGGGGCCGGCAGGGCCCCTCGGGCACTGGTGTGAAGTTAAAGGCAGCACGGCACGCTCACTCTGGAGGGCGGCTCGGGCACTGGGCTGAGCAGCCCGGGTTCCTCTGCAAGCTGTCGAGGCGGCGCTTCGGGGTTGGTGTGCCAGGCCAAGGGGTGTGCGCGCACTCTGTCACTGGAGCGCGTGCGCGCCCCTGCCCTGATGACACGGTGTCGGGAAGGGAGCAGGTGCCTGTGAGAAGCAAGCTAGCTGTTACCAGGTGCTACAGGCTGGAGTTTCAGTAGTTTTGCCGGGCCCCAGATTCAGTAGCTCACGTGACACGACAGTTGCCGGGTCCTGCTGCCCCTGGCTCACCAGCACGGCCGGGGCGCGGGGTGAGGCCGCGCGGGCAGCACGGGCTCCCGCCCCGTCTCACTGCAGCATGATGTCCTTCAGGTTCTCCTGCAGGATGGTGTCCTTCACAGCGTGGAAGACGAAGCGGATGTTCTCCGTGTCGATGGCAGTGGTGAAGTGGTGGAAGAGCGGCTTGCTGCGGTTGCGCCGTTTCCGGTCGAAGCACTGGACCAGGAAGCGCTGCACGTCCTCCAGCCGGTGCGGGTCACCCTGGAAGTCGGGGAAGTGCTTCTGGATGCTCACGCTCCGCACCTTCTCCACCAGCAGGTCCATCTTGTTGAGGAAGAGGATGATGGAGACGTTGAAGAACAGCTTGTTGTTCACGATGGTCTCAAAGATGTTCATGGACTCCACCAGGCGGTTGGTGCGCCGGTCCTCCATAAGCACCTGGTCAAACTCACTGGACGACACCATGAACAGGATGGAGGTGATGCCGTCGAAACATTGGAACCACTTCTGGCGCTGGGACCGCTGCCCACCCACGTCCACCATCTTGAAGGGGATCTTCTTAATGACGAAGTCATGCTCCACGATGCCCTTGGTGGCCTTCCGGGCCAGCAGGATGTCCTGCTTACTGGGGAAGTAGTTCTGGAAAACACAGGGTGAGGGAGGAAGGGCAGGGAGATGGAAGGGGCAGAGGGCAGAGGCCAGGGCAGAGGGAAAGGTGACAAAAGGTTTGGTTCAACTCTTCCAGGAACTCGAGCCAAATATCCAAAGCAAACTTTGCGTATAGAACTATGCCTTTACCATGACGCAAACAGGAACACTGAGTTAGCTCCCTGTTCCCCTGGCTGGGCCACGGGGGACCAGGGTCCCTGCTGTTGGTCTCCATGTGAACTCTCACCATTCCTCTTCTGCAGAGGAAATTTGCCCTCCTGCTTGCTACTCTATAGAAAATGTTCTAACTTCCAGGGCCTTACCTTACCTCATACTAAGCTACCTTAGGGTTTGCAATGCTATTTAAGCCTAATATGAAATATTTAATATGTTGGTATTGGAATATTTTTTTGTTGTTATTGTTGTTGCTCATAGGGCTTGAACTCTAGGCCTGAGGGCTGTCCCTTAGCTCTTCAGCTCAAAGTAAGTGCTCTACCACTTGAGCCACAGTGTCACTTCCGGTTTTCTCGTGGTTAATTGGAGATAAGAGTCTCACAGACTTTCCTGCCGGGGCTGGCTTTGAACCGTGATCCTCAGATCTCAGCCTCCTAAGTAGGAATACAGGCGTGAGCCATGGGTGCCCAGATGAAATACTTTCTTCTTTTGATGCTGGGAATGGAACTAGGGCCTCCTGTGTGCTAATGACTGAGCCAGGCCCCAGCACTCGGGGAACTCTCAGAGGCTTCCACGACACAAAGTAATCCCAGCTCTCCAGCCACTGTGATCAGGCTCTGCAAAGTCACCACTGATGCCAGTACTCAACAGAACCTCCCACAGCAATCCAGCCAAACACCAAGGGGAGGGAGAGGGGGGAGGGGATGTGGCCTAATGGGCTGGAGCCTGAGGGAGATCTCCACCACATTAACAGCCAGGTCTAGACTATGACACCTGATAGCATAAAGGCTTAGTTACTTCAGTCCATCAATGAGGAGAAGGAAAAAGACAGGAGAAACTCACAAATTCAAAGCAGTTTAAGTGACATGGACCAATTGCAGTTTTTGGACCTTATTAGGATATCGATATAAATTCTTAGTACTTTTTTTTTTCTTTTTGTTGGTCATGGGGCTTTAACTCTGGGCCTGGGTGCTGTCCCTGAGCTCATTATCTCAAGGCTAGTGCTCTATCACTTGAGCCACAGTGCCACTTCTGGTTTTCTGGTGGTTAATTGGAGATAAGAGTCTCACAGACTTTCCTTCCCAGGCTGGCTTTGAACCCTGATCCTCAGATCTCAGCCTCCTGAGTAGCTAGGATTACAGATGTGAGCCACGGGCCTGGCTGTTATTACTTTCTTTTTGGTGATACTGGGGTTTGAACACTGCTAGGTAGGCCTCTGCCACTTGATCACTGTTACTGTTTTTTTTTTTTTTAAAGTCAACAAGAAAATATGAGGGCTAGGTGCCGGTGGCACAAGCCTATAATCCTAGCTACTCAGGAGGCTGAGATCTGAGGATTGCAGTTCAAAGCCAGCCCAGGCAGGAAAGTTCGTGAGACTCTTATCTCCAATAAACCACCAGAAAACCGGAAGTGGCGCTGTGGCTCAAGTGGCAGGACACTAGCCTTGAGCTGAAGAGCTGAGGGACAGTAACCAGGCCCAGAGTCCAAGCCCCATGACCGACCAAAAAAAAGAGAAAAGAAAAAGAAAAGAAAATATGAGGGCTGGAAAGGTGGCTTAGTGGTAGAGTGCTTGCCTTGATGCACGAAGCTCTGGGTTCGATTCCTCAGTACCACAGAAACAGAAAAAGCCAGAAGCGGCACTGTGGCTCAAGTGGTAGAGCGCTAGCCTTGAGCAAAAATAGGCTCAGGGCAGTGCTCAGGCTCTGAGTCCAAGCCCCAGGACTGGCAAAAAAAAAAAAAGAAAAGAAAAGAAAAAGAATGAGACCACCAAGTAAAGTCTTACAAGCAAATGAACATGCTTGTCACTAAGGCACAGTGGCAAATTTCTCAAGAACACACAGGTATTCTGGTTGTGATCTTCAGAGTCTTATCTTCCAGAGATGCACACTAAACTATGGCTATTTTTGTTTTTTTTCTTTTTTGGGTCCGGTTGTGGGGCCAGAACTATGGGCCTGGGCACTGTCCCTCAGCTCTTCAGCTCAAGGCTAGCACTCTACCACTTGAGCCACAGTGCCACTTCCGGCTTTTTTCTTTTTGCTTATGTGGTGCTGAGGAATCGAACCCAGGGCCTCATGCATGCAAGGCAAGCGCTCTACCACTGAGCCACCTTCCCAGCCCAGTATGGATATTTTTGTTGTTACTCTTTTTTCTTTTGGTCAGTGGTGGGTCTTGAATTCTGGGCCTGGGCGCTATCCCTGAGCTCTTCAGATCTACCACTTGAACCACAGTGCTACTTCCAGTTTTCTGGAATTAAATTAAACATTAGGGTCTCATGGACTTTCTTTCCTGGGCTGGCTTCGAACCACAATCCTTAGATCTCAGCCTCCTGAGTAGCTAGGATTACAGGTGTAAGCTACCAGTGCCTGGCTACTCTTGGTGTTTTTAAGACAGGGTCTTGTAGTCCATGTAGGCTTCACACCCTCCATTCTCTTGCCTCAGCCTCCCAAGAGCTGGGATGATAGGCATGTGCCACCATGCTTGGCTGCTAAAATATGGTTGATTAGAGGCTGTGGTGAGGGTTGTGTTCCTGGGCGAGGGTGTGGGTAGTCACTGCTGCATGTGGGGTGTCCTTTTGTACAGGCTTGAATTTCCACAGGGACAATTGCAGGAAATCCTCCTCTGACTACAGAACACCTCCATGCCTTCATGGCGGCATGTCTTCCCCATGCTCACAATGGAATCCAGACCCCGGCAGACACCCGACAGAACAGGACGCTCACAGTGATGTGATGGGACCCGGCGGAGCATGTGTGTAGCAGGGTCCCAACACCACAACTTCCAGTCTCTGAAGGCTGAGAGTGGGGCGGGTCTTACTCACCAGTTGGCCAATCCGGTCCAAGTTGTCCAGGAAGTACTTCACAGACTCACCCTGTGAGGAGAAGACATTTAGAACTCAGTCTTCATAGAAAGAAGAAAATGAAGTAAGAACAGCAGTGTGAATGCAAACTGGAAAACAGGGTGAAAAGTATGGAGTAGAAAGGTCTTTTTTTTTTTTTTTTTTGCTGGTCCTGGGGCTTGAACTCAGGGCTTGGGCACTGATCCCTGAGATCCTTTTGCTCAAGGCTAGCACTCTACCACTTGAGCCACAGCTCCACTCCAGTTTTTTCTGAATAGTTTATGGGAGATAAACGTCTCAGGGACTTTTCTGCCTGGGCTGGCTTTGAACTTTGATCCTTAGATCTCAGCTTCCTGAATAGCTAGGATTATAGGCGTGAGCCACCAATGCCCAGTAGTGGGGTTTGAACTCAGAGCCTTGTGTTTTCCAGAACTTGAGCTATGCCCTGTCCCTTCTCACTGTCCAGCCTGGATCATATGATCCTCCTAGTTATGCTTCCTGCGTGGCGGGGATGTCAGATGCACACCCCTACACCCAGCTAGCTACTGGCTGGGATGGGGGTCTCATCAACTTGTTGCCTGGGCTGGCCTTGAATTCTGACTCTCCTGCTCTGCTGCGTGAGCAGCTGGAATCACAGGTGTGAGCCACATCTGGCAACACTAGGTTTTTGGCCAGATTACAGCCTATGACTTCCTAAGGAAATGATGAGGGACGGCAGCAGCCAGCAGCCCCAACTTGGTGTCTCTCTGTTCTGGGAGGCCCAGAGAAGAGCTTCAGGGCAGAATGGAAGCCATGGTCTTGGTTTACGGCATGGGACACAAAGCCCCGTTCAGGCACTGATGATGAATACAAGCCTCTTCATGGTGTGTGAAGTCTGCTCTGGAGTCTGACTTGAGATGGCAGAGGCACTGGGCTGGGGGGGATGTGTCGGGGAAACCCTCACTTCTGGGCAACGGGCTTCATGCAAGCCAGCTGGCTGTAGATGCCACCCTTCCATGCCGGGAGGCCTGGATGGCCTCTCGCTGCACCCGTCACCCTGCTCTGCTGGTGCAGAGCCACCCCTCTCCGGCACAGACAGGAAGCAGCTGGGCGGTGAGGCGCTCTGGGTGGCCCACAGCACACCTGACTTTCCAAGCCCCACTTTGCTGTCCTTGTCTACCTCCTGCCTCTCACCCAGGCCCCAGAAGGCATCGGCAGAGCTCTGAAGAGTCCAGACATGGTCCCTGACACATACTCCTTGACATGGCTGGTCACAAGGAATGGGAAAGCCTCAGGATACCAGAAGGGGAACTGTATAGATAAAAGCATTTAGAGTTGGGTGTGGCAGCACACACCTGTAATCCTAGCATTTGGGAGGGCAAGGCAGGAAGACAGAGTTGGAACCTAGCTGCATACAGACCCTACGAAGTAAAATAAATCCATTTTCTAGAAAGTAAGGGGCTGAAAAGTGCCCTGTTGTTTCTTTCTCCTCCAGAGTGGTTCATCCCTCGCTGGTGGAGGCTTTACTTCTTTTTGTTTTTTGTTTTGTCGGTTGTGGGGCTTGAACTCTGGGCCTGAGCACTGTCCCTCAGCTCTTCAGCTCAAGGATAGCGCTCTACCACTTGAGCCACAGCGCCACTTCCGGTTTTCTGTGGTTTATTGGAGATAAGAGTTTCATACTTTTCCTGCCTGGGCTGGCTTTGAACCTCGATCCTCAGATCTCAGCCTCCTGAGAAGCTAGGATTACAGCCGTGAGCCACCGGTAGCTGGTTGGAGGCTTTACTTCTTTGGGTGCATGCAAATTATTTGCCATCCTATGTCATTTGGCATGGCTGGTGGCTTCAGCTCCTCCCAGCCAGGATGCACAGGACGGAAGGAAGAAAATCCCACTTCACATCAGAGTACCTCACCTGAGCCACAGGGCTCCACAGAGGGGCTGGAGGACAGGGTGGACAGAGCACAGACAATGTTGCTGAGGCATGTCCCAGGCTCTGAGGCCCAGCTTTGGGTTCCCTGGGGCTGGGGCAGAGCTGAGAAGTTCGTGACCAGAGAATGAATGATGTTTCTACAGCCTGAGGTGCTGGGGCATTCATTTACTCCAGACTTGTTCAAAAGGCCAGGTTTAGCAGGGTACCAATGGCTCATGTCTGTAATGCCAGCTATTCAGGAGGCTGAGATCTGCGGCTAGCAGTTCAAAGCCAGCTCATGCAGTAAAGTGTGCGATTCTTTATTTCCAATAATAATAATAATAAAATCCAGAAGTGGACAGTGGTAGCTCAAGTGGTAGAGTGCTAGCTTGGAGCAAAAAAAGCTCAGGGAGAGCACCCAAGCCCTGCACTCCCGCGTGCGTGCGTGCAAACACACACACACACACACACACACACACACACAGAGGCCACATTTATGGCTGGGTGTGGTGGCTCACTACTGTTAACACAACTAGGGAGGTTGAGATGGTTATTGGCCAGGGGGATGTTTGTGAGACCTCATCTCAACAGAAAAAGCAGGGTATGGTAGCATGTGCCTATCATGCCAGTTATGGTGGGAAGTGTTAACAGGAAGATTATGATCCAAGCCAGCCTGGACAGAAAGTGACACCCACCTGAAAAGTAACTAAAGCTAAAAAGGCTGGGGGTGAGTCTCAAGGGGTGGAGCATCTGCTTAGCAAACTTGAATTTAAATCCCAACAGTCTCAGCACTGGGAAGACTGTGTTGTGTCTCTGGCAGACATGGGGATGTTAACATGAATGAAAGGTTTCTGGTAAAAAGGAAAAACACCTCATGTGCTAAATCAATCTGAGTCCTGTCTGGATGGTTACACTGTGACAGAGCCTAACACAGCTGTGTCCCTGTGTCCAAAAAACTTGTTTTCCTTTCCTTTTTGCTGGTATCAGAGTCTCATGTTTTCATTTGACTTTCTGGCTCATGGCTGGTGATTTACACCATGAACCACAACTCCAGCACTTGCTTTTTTTTTCTTGCTTAATTGTAAATGGAGTCTTTCTGACTTTCCTGCCCTGAATGGCTCAAACCATGATTCTCTGGACCTAGACTCTGCTAGGATTACAGATGTGAGCCACTAGCGCCCAGCTAAAACAGACTTTTGATTACTCCTGTTGTTTTGGAAAAGAAATCGAAGTCATAAACAGTAAATCAGCTAGGGCGGCTATAGGCGGCTGGGCTCCCAGTGGCCTCGGCCCACCGCCCTCACCGGCTGCTGAGCTAGCCTGGGGACTGGGAGCGGTAAAGGCGCAGTGTCAAGGACAGCAGGTTCATGGAGGGCTGTGCACCTGTGCCAGGCACAGGCAGATGAAGACCAGGGTGACAGGTGGCAGGGCCTCGTCACCAGGCCGTTCACAACAATGACTGTCCTTTGGTGAGCCCTTTCTGGCAGCACCTGTCACCAGCCCCAGTGGCCACATGTCCACCCTGGGCTGGTGGCACTTTCACTGAGCACAGTGTTTTCAAGGCTCACCCAGGTCTGGACCCCTCCCAGCACTTTTCTTCTAACTAGCCCCTATGTATGAAGAGGCTCCCTGGGCACTCGTGGAGCGCTGTGGACGGCCGGGTGCAGCAAGTCTGCATATCTGTTACCAGTTCCTCTGGGTGCACACTGAGTGGGATGGTGAGTCAGATGGTAATTCTGTACAGCACAGGGGCCATCAAGCCATCTGCATTCCCACCCGCAGTGTCCGCGGTTTGGATTTATCCACATCCTCCTCAGAGAGGTTGTGCATGTGGGTTCCTCGCTTGACTGCTTAGACACACAGGTGACAGGGAGGGAACAGTATTTCATGGCGCGTGAAGCCACGGTGGGCCCAGCACTGTGAGACCCAAGTGCTCTTCAACCAAGCCGTGGGGTTGACATGAGAGTTCACAGTCTCAGCCTGTCTTCTGTACAGGATATGACAAATGTTCACAGTTCACAATCGTTTTCTTTAAAAGCAAGTGATGGGGGCTGGGAAGGTGGCTCAGTGGTAGAGCGCTTGTCTTGCATGCCTGAGGCCCTGGGTTCGATTCCTCAGCACCACATAAGCAAAAAGAAAAAA